AAGAAGCCCCCCCCCCCCCCCCCCCCCCCCCCCCCCGGGCACCTCTGCGGCGCTCAGCCCCCTGGTCTGGCGTCAGCAGCTCCGGCGAGTTGGCAAAGACGCTGGTGGGGTGCAGGAGGATGCCGGCCTTCTCCTTGGTGTGGAAGATCTGCGGGGCGAGGAGGCGGTTCACAGGAGCCCCGGAGCGCAGAAACCCCCCCCCCCCCCCGATGGAGACAGGCGCCGCCACCTCTCATGGCTCCTCGCCCCCGTGGGCCGCCTGGTGAGGTGGAGGGGGCGCACTTGCCTGGTCCGAGTCCTTGCGGGTGCCGTTGAAGGGGTCCGGGACCGCCAGCTGGGGGTACAGGCCCCTCCCCAGCACCAGCTGCAGGAGGGCGAGCTGGGGCCGCGAGAGGCCCTGAGCCGCAGAGGCCGCCGCCTGCAACTCGGACACGTTGTGGCGCAGCTGGAACTTCACGTCCTGGGCCGGGAGGAAGGGGGCAGAGGTCAGGCAAAGGTCAGGCGGCCGCCGCCACTCTACCCCCCCCCCGGCCAAATCCAAGGCAGGCCTGCGCTCAAGAGGCCTCCCCCGCCAGGCAGCAGGAGCCGCTGAGAGGGCCCCGCGGGTGCAGGGAAAGGAAAGCGGCCAGGTCGTCCCCACGGTCAGTCGGTCGGCCACCCACCTGGATGTCCGGGCCACGCTCCGCCTCCCCTTCTTCTCCCGAGGAAGAGCCAGCCCGCTCGTCCTGCAGGCGGAGCACCTTGCGCCGGCGGCCCTCTCCTTGCTCGTGCTCCCGCTTGAGTCGCTGCAGCTCCCGGCGCTGCCGGTGGTGGCGCTGCCGGGTGTAGGAGTCGCTGGGCCGGGCGGCGGGTTCTAGCAGCCGGTGGTCCCGGAGCAGCTCCTGGGGGACAAGGAAAGGGCCGGGGGTGGTGCGGCCGCATGCCCCCCCCTCCGCCCCCTCGTCAGAAACAGACACAGGCCCCGCCTCCCCCCAAGCGTCACACCTACCTGGAACTGACGCCGCAGGTTGGTGGCCTCATACAGCCGGTGCTCCTCCAGGCCCCGACGGCGGCACCAACGCCGGGATCCGCCACGCCCCTCGGACTTCACCTGCCGGGAGGGGAGGGGAGGCCCTCAGGGCACAGGCAGGTGAGGGGGAGAGCGGGGACACAAGGAGCCATCGCTTGCCCAGGGGCGAGAGAGACCCACCGGCACCCATCGAGGCCAAGCGACAGAGCCCCTTGAACACACACACACACACACACCACCCCCGCCTCCCCGGGCTCCCGGGCATGATG